AGCCTCCTAGCTTCGTATACTTTACATCAGTGGGTTTACCATGGCCAGGGGCTTGGCCCGCAGTTTTACATGCTAAATAACCTGGTTTTGTCAGCTGCCCAAAAGCAAATCCACTTCTCAAGCACAAGCTTACCCTATCCAACCTCCTGAGGTAGATGAATAAAACCAAAATGTGACTTTATTTACAATGTGAAATAATGGTTATAGGGATGAAAATACTTGAAGACGACATGGGCAACACATTTTGTCCTCGTAAGCACACACACGGAAAGAAAACAGAATCAGAAGATTGTTTAATAAATATGGGATCAAAACAAAAAAGTTAGATGAGTCCAATTTTTAATGGCATTAAGCTCCGACAGCTGATGAGTTCATCTTCAAACAGGAGTCGGCTTGCCAGCAGAGTTAGCGTACTCAGCCTCTTGGCTGAACGTCCTTCCCTCCTGGGTAGTGCTTGGATGACAACTGCCAAATTTGCCCTCCTGACTTCTTTCTGAAAGGGTTTCCATGACTAACCAGCTTGTATCCAATTGAGACATTCTTTCCTTAGATATCTTAACGCTTTGTATCGAGTTGCAGTAGAGTTATAGAGTCAGGAGAGCCTTGTTTCTGGCCTGATTTTTAAATTGAAATGTTATTTAAAATTCTTAAAAAACATTTACACATGTTATAATTTATAAAGTGGAAAATCTCCTTTAACATTTTTTCAAAGTTCCAGTGCCCTTCTCAGAAATCGACACACACACATACACAAACATAGGCAGTTCAGTAAATAAAAAAGTTCTACACTGGTTCTTTGACTCAAAACATAAATCCTGCCTCGGATTGTCATCTGTCTCCGTTGCCAGGAAGCTAATCCTGATTACCAAAGCGCTTGCTCACCTGCCCATTGCTTTCCGCTGGATTCTTGACACTTTTGGTCTTTCATGTCATAATCCCTTTTTGTCCCAGTTCACCTCCAATGAGTGCTGCATCCTCAGGGATCTGAAAGAAACTAAACTACACATTCTCATTGACTTTACAAGTTCTTTTCTCCTAGGATTTTCAGTCCCTTCGTTCTATTTTTTTTCACTTCACAGTGTCCTCTTACCCTCCCCCGTGTCCTCCCTTGCCTAGCTTAGACTCCACATTTCAATATTTCCAACATTCTTTCTAGATAAAAATATGTGGTTTCTGGTTCTATGAAGCACCTTCATTTCATCTCACCTGGAGAAATTCCAACTGTGAAAACCCACCTATCCTTTCCACGTATTTGAAGAAAAGCACAGAAAATTACTGGCCCACTTAAATTTGTTGCCACAAATCTCAAGTGATTTGTAAGTCATGCCTGGTGATTTTACTACTGCTTTTAGACATCTTACATTGTACCTTTCCAAGAGAATGATTCTACCTTTTTCTCAAAGTCACTAAGCCCTGTGCTCATGATTAGCTGATTGCCTTGCTTTTAATTTTACTTGGAAAATATAAACAGTTCAAAGAGAAATTCCTTGCTTTCTACCACTAAACCTACTGATGTATATTACTTGTCATAGTCAGGGTTTACAAGGGAAATAATACAGGACACATAATTTACAAAATTATTTCATAATAATTACCCAAAGAGTCATATACAAAGAGAGTGCAGGAAATCTGTCCACACAATAAAGACCAAATGAATCCAGCTGAGGGCCTGAATCCTATAGTAATGTCCTACATGGGTTCAGCTAAAGACCTAGAGCCCATCACAATGCCCTCATGAGACCAACCAGAGGCCCAGAGCACAAGACAATGTCTCATGCAGGTCTGTGTTAGGGGTTAGCACTGGGAAGGCCCAAAGGGAAGAATGGAAGCTAGAAAGGCCGTGCCAGCGGGATGAAGGATCTGTGCCAGCAGCCTGAGGGATCTGCACTGGAGCCAGGATGCAACACTTACAGTAAGAAGCAGAGCTCCCCAGAAGGGGACCACAGCCATCCTCAGCAACATGGAGGTCCCGAGATCCTCCGACGATGAGAACAGCTGGGTCCGTATCAGGAAAGCCAGCATGACAAGTTTCTCCAGGAGACTGAGCGATGCACCATCTTCCTCTCAGGAGCCAGGAAGCGATGCTCAAAGTGAGAACCAGAGCTCCCCCAAAGTGAACCGCAGCCATTCTCAGTGACAACAAGGTCTCAAGCTTCTTCCACGATGCGAACAGCCAAGCTGATATCAGCAAACCCATCATGACAGGCTCCTCCAGCAGAACATATAGCCCCAGAAGCAAAACAGCTCCCAACAGCCTCTCTTCTTGTTCTCCAGTTTTGCCTCTTATGCAGCCTGCAACAGTCCCTAGGTGGGCCCCCCACACCCAGCACCACACTGGTTCAGTTCAGCTGGGGATTACAAGCTGGCCACTGGTTGTCAATCCACCACATTACTATAGACTCAAACTACACATTTTGTTTTATTTTTGTCCACTTATCACTACTGAAGATTCCGTGGTCCAGCTGGGTAGTTGTCCTCATTTCTTTTATAATCTCAAGCCCTGTGCCTCCCCCTCCCTTGCGTCAAAATTTTGTCTCTTTGTGGATTATTCTCATAAATGAAACACACACCCCATTTTTTGTTCTAATTGTCAGGGGAAAAATATTTTTGTATGTATTTTCGCAGCTTCCTCCCCTCCAACATAGCAACTCTGTCCACTAAAGTGTTACATGTGTGCAGCACCCGGACCTTGGTCTTCATCTACCTTGCTTCTCAGCAACTTTCTCACCAGTGACAACTCTTCTCCCATTGGGAGACTTCCAGTGCTTGCTTTCACGAAACCACTTCCCTGGTTAACAGTCACCCTTGTTACTTCCCATGTAGCAATCCACGCTACATTTTTTGCTAGATCCTTCTGCCTGAAGCCGACATATTGCAACACCCTAGAACGTATTCCCCAAGCTTCATGTTTTTCCTTTTCCAATCATCTTCTGCATGAAAGCTTAGGAATTTTTTTAAACATCAGTAATGTGACTATTACATTTGTATACTTAGCTGTTATCCTTTCTACTGAATTCCAGATTCTTATATCTAATTTCCTACTCACCATCTGCATTTGAAATCTCAAGTAAAATATTTAATACTGCATTTCTATTTTTCACATCCTTCTCTTCCACCCCCAAAGAACTCAATGGCAAAATCATTTATCCAAATTTAGGTCTAAAACTTATAACTATTAATTCTTCTTTTTCATACTGTATTAGTAAGCTTTCCTGTTGCTGAAATATAATACCCAATACCCACAATTTAAAGGAGGAGAGGTTTAACTTGGCTCACATTTTGAGGGGATGCAGTACATGGTGTTGGCACCAAGGCAAAAATATCATGATGGAAAGATGTGATGAAGTGAAGAGGTTTAGTGCATGGAAGTTGGGCGGGACAGCAAGAGAGGAGTGCCAGAAAGGAAGAGGTGAGAAACCAGATACGGATGTTAAAAGACACATCTCCATGACACACATAGACACACCCAGGTGGATGCTCCACCCATGCCCTGGGCAGATCCCAAAGCCAATCAAGTGGACACTCCTCCCTAACCATGACCCACCCCAAGCATATAATCCAAAAGCAAACCTTATCAGTTATATTTCAAAACATAACAAATTAAAGATCTCAGTGCCCTCAAAAGTGTCCCCTTAGATCAAGACGTGATTATTTCTTGCCTGAATCACAAGGAAATCTATGATTTCCTCCAACACACCAGGCTGGCCTGTCATTTAGGAAATTTTGCTATTGATATTCCCTTGGTGAAAATGTTCTTTCTTCTTATACTGGCATAAATTATTCCTGACTTCCTAATCCAGTGTTACCTCCTTAGACTTCCCCTCACACATGAACTGTACAACAATGTTCTGGCACTCTTCACAATTTTAGTGTGATGCACTGTTTTCAAAGGTAAATGCATTAATTCCTACTGTGCAGTATGTCCTTTCATGTCATAATTTTCAACTGTTACTACTAAGAGACAAAAGCTATGTCCTCTCCTTTCAAATCTGGTCGCTTTATGATCTCTTTTGACCAATAGTGTGACAGAAGTTATTCTATGTGATGTCTGGGCCTGAATCTTAGGAGCTTCTCTTTGGGCATTAGAATCCAGTTGTCCTACAAAGGAACTCAGAACAAAATATTAAATGATAAAAGCCCATGTGGAGAGACAGAGCTACATGGAAGAATACTTAGGTACCTAGTTTTCTTAGGTACTTTTCTCATTGCTGAGACCAAATTCCTAACAGTCAAAGTAGGAAAGATTTGTTATATCTGAGTTTGTGGAAATTTCAATTCATAGTTTGTTGGTGCCAAGCAAGGCTGGTATGGCATAGGGAATCATACAGGAAAAACAGTTCATGGTGGACAGAAGGCAGCAAAGCAGCAATGTAGCAAAGAAGCAGCAAGGGACAAACAGTGACAGCAGCAACACTCTTGTATTCAATCCAGGCTACCTGCCCTAGAGGAGCACTCATACCCAGGGTAGGGCACCCTTAATCTTAGCATCACATAATCCCAGCATCACACACTCCAGATCCAGCCATCTCCAAGAAGCTCCACCTATGATCTCATGAGGCTTTGAGGGGGACATTGAAATACAAGCCATAGCACTAGTCAAAAGTCAACACTAAGCCCCCAGATTTTAGTTCCAACAGTCTCCTTGCTGAGTACAGCCATGTACACAACACCAAGTGACATCTTGCTAAGTTTTTCCTGACTCTAGGTCACACTGAAACTGTAAACAATTAGATAATTATTTTAATTAGTAATTAAAATAATTTCAAAAAGACTCTGTTAGAGAGTTTAGATCTTTTTATTTGTAGGATTAAACCTAGTGTACTATACGACATAAAGAATAAGAAACTTCTTTCAGCTGACAAAACACAATGTAACCAAAACTGTCAATCATTTTATATCTAAAAACAGATTAAAAGACTTGATACCAACAGAAAACTAAGATCAAATAAACAAAAAAAATTATAAATAATAGATCTGTAAAGCTGTATTGTTGAGAAAGAGGTCTACATGTTAACAACAAAAGATCTTAACAAGTAATTAGTTTTCTAAAAACCTAAGCACCTATATGTTTGTAACATAAAATTGTCAGGATTTTAAAACACCTCTTCAGACATAAATTCATTGATCAACATTAATTGTCAATCCTGGAATTTAAAAACCCCTTTTGCTGGCATTTTTACTGAAAAACTTATCTGAAAATTGGTGAGATAGTCTGCCTATTTGTTCTGTAATATCACACTTCAACTATTCAAGCTGTCTAAGAGCTGTAATTGCAGGTTAACAGTATAATTTCATGAATCTGTTCATTTTATGACTGTATTCATAAGACTTTGCATGATTAAAATATTTCCCTGAACTTATAAAAAACCCATAATATTTTAGAATGAGACTCTGTCTCTTACTTTTTTTAAATGTGAGATTTTTGTCGTTATGTTGACTGGTCAGATTAGGTTTCCCAGGAAACAGATTCTGAGACAAAATTTAGCATGCAGAATTTTACTAACGTCTTAGTCCATTTTCTGTTCCTATAACAGAATGGCAGGCAGTAAGTAATTCATAAAGAAGTTTTATTTAGTTCTTCTTCTGGAGAGTGAGGTTCAAGGTCAGATTTCTAGCTCTTATGAGGGCTTTGTGCTATGCCATAATAGAGAAAAAGCAGCAAAAAAAAAAAAAATTCAAGTCCAGACTCAATTTATAAGAATCTACTCTTGCGAGAATGAACCCACTTCCCCGAGAACTGCATTACTCTCTCTTCATGACTTCATCTCTTAAAAGTCCAGCTTACCCACACTACCACAAGGATGGTCAAATTTCTACGCAAGTTTCAGAAGACACAAATATATTCCAATCATAACAATTAAGGAGAGTTTTCAAAACAAATGCTGGTCAGAGGTGGCAGGGACACAGCTGAATGGGGCAGAAAAGACACTTCAGCAGCAAAGTGGCTCCAAAGACAGCCTCCAGCTGACTCAGTGGGAGTTCTGAAAATATAAAAACCCTTCAAAATTATCTCATGCTTGACCAGGATAAAAAGTCTTTATAGCTATGTATCTATCTTTAGATGTGGACCACGATAGTTTTGGATCCTTCTTACACCTCTTTTGGAGAAAAACATCTTCTCAGTGGTTTCACTATGGATCAAACTCTTCATACTTACATAATAGTGCTGGCTGGGTCCCGAGGAGCAGGAAATGGGGTCGTTTGTTACAAAGCAATGGAGTATTCACAAATCATTCACAATCTAAGTAAAGAGATTATTTTTAAAATAATTTAAATAAAAGCAGAAAGTATTATTTATGTAGGAGATTAAACAAATAAATGACTTTAAATTACAGGCTGGAGGTTTTGTCAACCATTGAAGATTTTATTTTCCAGAAAATGGTATATTTCCCCACTACTGGCTTAAAATAGTCAGTCTGCCATCAGTACATGTAAAGGACAAAGGTGAGGACAGATATTGTGGTGTTGTGCTTTTATCAGTGTGGAAATGAGGGCCTGCACCATGCTTTAGCAGTGGAAATGGAAGAAGAAAGTAAAATAGATTATATAGAAGAGATAGTTTCAGTATTCGATTCATAGTATTACTGTGGAAAAGTACAGGGAATGCTTCACCTGATACTGCCTGGGTGACTGAGAATCTACTGGTCATCTCTAGCACAATGAAGAAATGCAGAAAGGGTTATTATATAGTTTTTCTTATATAAAAAATTCAAATAATAAATAAAGAGCAAAATAAGAGACAGACAATAGGAAGTAGGGAGATAGATCTTTCTCAAATAGGAAGGGGGTCAAGAGATAGAAGGGAAGGGAAGAGAAGGGAAGGGGTTGCAAAAAGGAATGAAGATGTGTTATGCACAAGCACCTCTCCACACAAGGAGGTAAACATTATTTACCACACAGATGCACAGATAAAAAAGACATAAAGTGAGAAAAAAATAAAGATAAGGAGGATGACTTTCAAAAACATGAATGTTTCCTTAAAGAAATAAAGTCCTCCCTATTGCTTGAGTTTCAAGAATTAATGAGATAGAGAAAGAAAAATGTATAACCAGAAGTTTATAAGTAAGGTAGTAGACCCTGAAAAAAAAGAAAGATTACAGGTCATGATTTGGTACAAATCAATAAAACAGAAATAGCTTGGTTGAGAATCTAGGGAAAGAGGAAATGGGTAAAGGACATAACTTTGAGAACTATGCTAGATAATTTTGGCTGTCACGTGGGCTGGCTAGAGGGATGCCTGGAAAACTGGTAGAGCATATTTCTGAGTGTGTCTGGGAATATGCTTCCAGAGAAGATTGGTGTGAGGGTCAGCAGACAGAGTGGGGGAGACCTTCCCTGAGGTGCGCAGCATTGGCCAACAGGTGGAGCCCAAATGACCCCCACCAGAGAAAAGAAAAAGAAAGGCACGCTTGTGCTCACCTGGGCTCAACCTGTTGATCAGGTGTGCTCTTCTGCAGCTGCCAACCATGAACATCAGAATGCAGGTTCTCCAACCTTTGAGTGTAGACTAGTACCTGGGTCTCACCAGTGGACTTGTACGTGTTTGGCCTCAAACTAGGCCTGCATTTGTTCTGAGGTATCTGCTTTCTTGGGCTGAGGAGTTACTGATTTTCCTGACTCTCTGGTCTACAAATGGCCACTGTGAGACTAACTGTGAGATTATTCAGCCTACAACCATGTGAGCCAGTCTAAAAGCTCCTTTCTTCTAATTATAGTACATTACATGGGTTCTAGTTCTCTGGAGAACACTTATTGATAAAGAATTCATCCTCTTGGAAAGACAAAAGATTTGATAATCAAAGAGAAGGGGAGATCGATTTGCATGAAATCTAAAGAGAAAGAAAGAGTTAAGAAATGGAGTTCAAACTGGGAGGAAAAAAGGTTAACTTACTCTGATATTTAAGACAGTACAAAAGTATTAACTACAAAAAAGGGAAGAGAGCAACTGGATTGCAAGAGGTTCAGGGCCCATGGGAGGTTACATGTGTGGGAGCAGATTTATTGTTTCTCTGCAAAGTGATTCGATGAGGTAACAGATCCGGAAAGAGTGTAGGACGGGGATAGGAGAGGCAAAGGGAGGAGCAGCTCTGAAGCCAGGAGACAGGAAGTTGCGTCATAGAGAGGAAATGGCTCCCACTTCAAAGCCAAAAATCTCAAGAGATTGGGAAGAACAAGGATGGTGTCTGAAAGGGTGAGAAACACGTACAATAGCCACTGTGATAAGTAAAAACCACTTAGAATACTTAGTGGTGAGAATCTAACTACGTTTAAGTAATATATCCAACTGGTTCTGTTATGGCTATAATACTATTAGATGACCACATGCTCAAATAGAAATCCAAAATGGTAAGGATTATTTATGTATTTCATCCTTGCTCATCCAAAATCATGTTGCAGTTTATATCTAGAGGTCGCCACAAAGCTTCATGTGCTCAGAGGCAGGGCCTTTGAAAGATGACTGGACCAGAGGGGGCGCTATTGATGACTTCTGTTAGAAGGCCGGGCCTGATCAGCAGGGTCTGGGCACAAGGGAGGAGCAAAACCAGAAAGAGCAGATGCCCGCCCCAGGTCCTCCCTCCTCTCTTTGCTTCCTATCTGCCCGGACATGCGCAGATTTTCCTCCACCCTGCCCCTCTGCAGAGCCATCCTTCCTGGAACCAGCTAGCTATGGGCTGTAACGGTGAGCTAAAATACCACTCCCCCTAATTGAGGGTGTCAGGCAGTGGGTTCCAGTGACAAGGAAAGTGATAGAGACAGTCCACGACCAAGACAGGAGACCTTGCTCGTTTCCCTTACTGCCACGGCTCAGTAACTTCCATTCCTGATTCAGAACATGCCTTTGCTTACTATACTAGTCCCTCTGCCCAAAGTGAGCGCACCCCTAATTTTAGGTCTTAGCACAAGTATAACTAAATTTTATGAAGTCTCTCTGCCACCTGTTTGTCAAATAGCGTGGCATTCACCATATTCTTCACTGTTCTTGAGGCTGTTCTTGCATAATAAATGTAAAACATGCTAAAAGAAATATTCTTTCAAATACAGTACATTGTAGAAAGGTCACACTAAGGACAGATGTGGGAAAACCAAGTGACAAACTGACAGAGAAAAAAAATGGAAATATTCTCAGATAAACAATATAAATACTTCTGACTCTTACTGTCAGCTTAGTGGTTCTAAATCCCAACACACATTACTTGCGTTTTGCGTAGCTAAAGAAATCAATTAAGGCTTTCAGCATTTCTTGTTTGCAATGGCAAAACACCATTATAACTGTTCCCCAGTCTCTTCAAAGTTCAAGGAATTTTACTCACATCACAACCCACCTATAAAACTACATAGATGCATGTCATTTCCCTATTAGAAATTCTGCCATCTAGCATAGAAGGTGACTGATTCAAAAAAAGTATGACTTTCAGCTTCCCCTCCTTCCTTCCTTACTTTAACCAATCTGAGCTCCTGCCATGTACCCAACACATTTTTATTTTAACCAAGACATTCCTTCCCATTCCCTCAATTACCTCCCAACATCTGCTAGGTTCTTAACCTAGGAAAGCATAAGTTCCTGTACCCACATCACCGTGTCACAGTAAATTCTTTCCTGAAGCAACTTTAAGTTGTTTTGTCTTTGTGTTCCTTACTGCATGTTGCTGAAGGTCTGAAAGAACAGGCGCATTGTAGGAAACTGTAGCTTTCCCCAATTATTTGGGGATAATATAAGTGATGAATTTCATTTAATAACTTTTGCTGTATTAATAAGGATCATAGAATGAAAGAGAATTTTGATGATGGTCATTTCACCAGTCTGCTCAACTGATATGTACATTGAACAACACCAACTTTGTCACCAACTGAACTGAAGTAAGAATACACTGTGGCAAAGCCAAAGTATATAAGCTTTACTTTACAGACTTCAGAATTTAGTAGGCTACCACCTGTATACCACAGTGAAAGGTAAATTTACCCTGGATCTGTGTAATGCTAAGCATGCTCCCCAATATCAAAGGTGGTAGCTGCTCAGAAAAATCTGAGAGTCTATCTCTTTTTATAAATCTCAAAAGGCTAAGAGATCGTGTGGCAACTGCTTTAAATACTGATCCTACATATTAAAGACACAGTGATCTATCAGTATGTACACTGGCATACTTTTCCATTGAATTGGTTAGTAAAGTGTCATAGAAACTACAAATGCCTTAAAGAAATAAAATAATTTTTTTAAGATATTTTAAAAGACTGCTTTAACGCCTTCTCAAATAGATCCAAGTTTTCTCTCTTTATGTCTGAGATTGCAGGTTAGACATATTCCCATTGTACTAATGTTTATTTTTAGTGTTGTATTCATTCTTAGTAACAGGCAGAAACTTAAAAAGAAAAAAAAATCAACCTATGCTGACACATTGATAGCATTTGTCACAAAAGTAAGACAATAACAAAGATGATAGGTATTTCAATGATAGAAATAGATGCATCTTATTGCTCTTAAAATCCTGACTAGAATTATACAAAGCACACATTTTCAAACATTTCCTAAAAGAGCTTTATATTTTAGGGACAGGTGAGACGTTCAAATAAAATAGAAAGGATTATTACCATTATTATTGAAAGACATAACACAAGGAAACTTCCTACCTCCCTCTTTGAGAAAGGGCAATACTTGATATAGAGAAAGCCTCAAAAAGAACTCAAAAAGATAGGACATACCAAAAGAACCAGGCACAGTTTGCATTTGAACAAATAATGTCAATGTCCTGAGTGTTAATTCCCACAGGAAGGCAAACACTCTCCCTCCGAGGATTGCTTGCCTTTCTCATTAACCTGTGCCCATGAGACCTTAATCTCTTATATTTGCAGTTACACCTAAAAGCTTCCTGGTTATGCCTAAAAGGTTCCTGCAACTTGAAACTGACAGCCACCTCAGCTTAGCAGAGGAGTTCAAGGCAGCAAACCCTCTATCTGTTCACACAATGATCAGATCCCCAGTCAAATAGCATTCTTTTTCTAACCTATGTATAGAATATCACATCCCTAATTCCTAATCTATAGCTTAAATAATATGACTTTGCTATTAATTCTAATTAAATTTTATATTATTCTACTTGCTATTAACTTTAATGTTAATTATTAATTTAAAATCAAGGTTTAAAATTACATCACAGTGGAGGGAGAAAACTGACAGATTTAAGCCAGCTGTCAATTTGAAATTCAGTACTTTGGGTCCAGTAGGAGAGCCAAATAAATCATACACAAATTACTTTTGGTCTATACATAATATTTGTAAGTGACTGTCTTGGTTATTTTTCTCTCATTGCCTAAACAAAATACCTGACACCCAAAATTAAGGAAGGGAACATTTATCTGGCTCACAGTTTGTGGCGATTTCAGTCCATAATCAGCTGGCTTCAAGACAATGTGGCATGGCAGAGGGGAAAATGTTCATGGTGACAGAAGACAGCAAAGCAGCAAGAGCAAAGAGGGGGAGCAAACCTCTTTTCCTCCCCTATATTGTACACAGGCTACCTGGCCTAGGGCAAGTGTAGCGCTGGCACCATCTCCACGCCCTCTTGCACTGACTCAGAATGTTTACAAAGTGAGGACCCTGCTCCGTGCTCTGTCACTTAGTTAAACTTCTAAACTTCTCAAGTTGACAAAATGAGTCAACCATCACAACATCCTAGGCCTTAAACAGCCGCCCTAGAGCATGTCCTCTACACCCTAGTACATACAACTCCTGGGTCACCTAGTTAAGCTTCTAAACTTCTCAAGTTGACACAATGTATCAACCATTATAATGACTATGATTGCACTGAACAATGAAGCCTTCTCTTGTTTCCTTTTTGGCATTACTGGAGATCAGAATGAAAATTATGAAGATGTTTTGTTTGTCCATGGTACTTCAGTTCCTAGAGACTCACTACAAAGATCCACTCTCAAAGTCTGTGAAATGCAGCTCATCTAATGACAGCAATCATAAAATGCACACCCTGTGCACCTGTGCCTCCATGACATCTTTGTACTCAGAACATTACAGGTATCATTTCAAATTCAGCTCAGGAATGGTGTCACAGCACAGCCTTGGAGGAAATCTATTACTACGCACATATTCATCTTATAGTAAAGACCACGACTAATGTTTTTCAGATTGCAGCTTTCTGCCTGGACTGATACAGAAACAAAGCAAACACTAAAACAGAATACAACACAAATTCAACAAAGGTAAACTAAGAAAACATTTTCTTCTTTTTAATGTCTGAGATTTTAGAGAAATAGACTCTGCTACTTTTTCTGATTCTGTTAGTCCAAAAATAAGTTTTTAAACATTTCATCTTTTTACAAATGGGAGCACTGGCAACTTGTATCCCTGATAGCCAGCCATTCTGCCTTTCTTTTGTATCCAGATTCTTATGCAAATCTCATATAAACTTTAATATGTGTCAGACCTCATCTCAGTTTAAAGAGTCTGTCTGCTCTTGCTCCTTTGGAGCTAGAGATGTCTTTATATGGGACAGGATCAAATGGGAAAGAGTCTAAGAGGACAGGGACAGAACAGCAGCAAAGTCGTTCACTCCTCCTTAATCTCCAAGAAACCTCACTCTAGACCAAGATCCAGTGAGGACATAGCTCATCTTCATTCTCCCAGCAAAAACCCAGGAGCTCAACTCCCATGTTCTGATGAATTTATAACTAAATGTGCTGGTGGGAAGTGAAGCCTGGTTGGAGAAGGTGGATGACTGGGTGCATAGCCTAGAAGCATCTATTTCTCTCCCTCTTCCCTTCCTTCTCTCTCTCCTTCCAATTTCCATGCCATCAGTTGCTTCCCTTCTGCTGTGCCACCCTGCCCTGGAGCCAGCTGACTGGGCTGAAACCTCTACACACTGTGAGCCAAAATAAACCTTTCCTTTTTTAAGTTCTTGGTGTCAAATGAGAAAGTAATTTAGCAATTATCAAATAAGGCCTCAGCACATTTGAAATGTACCCTCTGACTCTTTTATTAATCAATGTAAATACCATTTGTCTATGTAAAGTCTTTTTTTCCTCTTTTAACCTCTCATACAAGTTTCATTATATTTGTTCATACCCACTGGATAAAGTGAAAACAACCTGTATTTATTCTAACACTAATCCCTTCAAATGAAATCAATATGCTTCAACAGAGAAATCAAATTTGTTTTCCTCTGAGTTTTGTAGGAAAGCTGTCTTTGGCAGTAGGATTGAAGCCAATGGATTTGGTACAAACAAGTGCCTGTATTGCATTATCAGTGAAAATTAAAAAGCAGGCTGGAAAGAGACTAGGTTCCCTAGAAAATTAGAGTGAAAAACAAAGGCAAATAATTCAATCTGCCTGGGGTAAACGGTATCATGAAAGTTTCCCAAGGCTGAATGTTAGGGTTTGTTTGTTGTCTTTTCATTTCTGTGTGCTCCTTTATCTCAAGATTCCTTAGAAGCAGGGCCTGAGAGAGGGATTCAGGTCCATCTGATTCGTGGTGAAAGGTTTCTGCCATGAAATCCTGCATGAGTGGAAAGGAAGGGGAAAAGGTAGCAATCACCTGGCCTCAGGGAATCAGGTCTGGAGCGTAAATCATCCCATCTGGAAGCAAGAGGACTGAGCATTTGTACCTTGTTTTGGTCAGTAACTGATTACTCCACAGTGGGGACAGCATGGAACCTCATAAGTATTAGCCTATGAGAATCAGGGCAGCCAACAAAAATCAAGTGCTAACACTTTCACAGCTGAGGAATGGCTTCCTGGTGAAGAAAAAAGGAAGCCACAACATCTATATCCTCCCCCACCCCCTTCCTTGCTTTCTTCTTTCTTTTCTTCCTCTTTCTTCCTTAGGTCTTATTTTTGTCCACATCACTAGATTTTCAAATATCCAGATTATAGCCACTCAATCTTAAACCATGGAAAATTTAATGTTTTTCTGCTTAAACTGGCTAACAGGATTCCAGACACCTACAACTTAGTTGAATCTTAGTTGATACCATACCTACAAGATGCTCTGTTTTAGATTGCATACTAGAATCAAGTCTTGATTGCATAAGCATAGCTCCTCATAGTGTAGTCTATCACATGATGAGTCCTAT